TATATACATATATATATATATATACATGTATATAAATATACATATATATATATACATATATATAAATATACATACATATATATAAATATACATACATATATATAAATATACATACATATATATATACATATATATATATATATATATATATATATATATATATATATATATATATATATATATATATGTATACATATATATATATATTTATATATATATATATACATATATATATATATATATATATATATATATATATATATATATATATATATATATATATACATATATATATATATAATATATATATATATATATATATACACATATATTGATTCTCCGTCCTAATTGATTCTCTAAACAGTGTCAAGATGGAGGAGCTAGTTGGCATAACAGGTGAATCCACGTTGAACGAGATTGGCTTTGAAAGGCAGGTTGTGTCGATGGGCCACCAAGCCTGTGGAGCTCTTGAGCTGTGGAACTACCCCTTCTTCTTCAGGGATCTTATCGCACAAAACGTCGATGGAACTGAAAGATCAGATCATGTAGACATGCCTGTTCTTGAAAGTATGTTCACCGTAGGCTGGCATGCATTTTGCTTCACGTTCATATACTAGTCAGTAAGCTGACATGTTCCTTCTGATCGTTCAAACAGTATACCGCGACCGAGAGAGGAGGATTCCACGGTACAATCAATTCCGAAGGAAACTGATGATGATCCCAATTTCCAAATGGGAGGATTTGACGGATGACAAGGAAGCAATTGAAACCATAAGAGAAATATATGGAGATGACGTAGAGAAGTTAGATCTTCTCGTGGGCCTGATGGCGGAGAAGAAGATCAAAGGATTCGCCATCAGCGAAACTGCTTTCGTCATCTTTATCTTAATGGCATCAAGGTACAGTCCCAGGATTAATACTGCATGTGTCTTCTTATTAGGTAATCCTTCTCCCCATCTTCTTGTTTCACTCTGGGGCAGGAGACTGGAAGCTGATCGTTTCTTCACGAGCTATTTCAATGAGAAGACGTACACCAAGAGGGGGTTCAAGTGGGTGAACACCACAGAAAGCTTAAGAGATGTTCTCCTGCGCCATTACCCTCATACTGTTTCCAAATGGATGAACTCCACCAGTGCATTCTCCGTGTGGGATGCTCCACCTAATTCCTTCAATCCCATTCCGCTGCTTCTACGGTTCCCAAGTTAAGCGCCAGTAGTGAAGTGAGGATTCGTGTGCGTCTAAGTTTCTGCATCCATGACAAGTGGTTTAATTCCCTTTCCGAACTCATGAAGCCATCGTTCCTTTGATTGATTCATCCAAACAATAAAGTGTGTTCCTTCATGTCTGCTTGATCCTCTAGTTTGTTCTCTTAATTACTTGATTTATGTTATGATCCACTTTATTTATATTTTTACGTCATTCATCACAGAAAATATAATGTCATAGTTACTGTTTCACAAATTGTCACTGTCCAACTTAACATACAATTCATCCAGTAATTAACAGATAAAAACGAAAACTAGAATCTTCATATCAGCATTTAAAAGATCTTTTAAATGTTTACAAAGAGACAAATCCTGATCTTTTGATTGTACAAAGTGCCTTAAGTACCAAGATATTTCTTTTAAAATAAATTTGAAAATTTGATGTCATGGCTTCTTTTTAAGTCTCTCACAAATCATTTATACTTCTGACTATACATCTCAAATTTATAGTTTAGTTGTAAGTAACTAGAGAATTTTCCCTCAATGCGTCCTTACATTTGCTACTAAATTTCGTTATTGATAAACAGGTTTAATAAAATGCCATGAGAGGCTTAGAAATTAGATGAAATTATAACTTCTAATACTTACTCAAAACACTTATCTACTTTGTAATATTTTTTGGGACCCATCGAGGCAGATCGGTAACGCGGGAAAATCACAAATGGGTAAATACTTAATGGGTACTCAAGGGGCTCCCATCAGGAGCCGTCTGATCACTTGATATCCTAATCTTAGTTTACGTGGCACGATTCAGATATTTGTGACCACTCCCCTTTTGGGTGCGTGACTCGGGAAGCATGATACCCTTTTAGATCTTGTTCGCTTCCCCGGTCCTCTTTTCTCAGCCCCGTTCGAAGCCCTGCATGCCCCCCAATTTCGACTCATATATATTCACCTTGTATTAGACTCGAGGAATTGGATGAGAGTTTCACTTCCTCACCAAAGGGTAAAGCGATCCCTCATCGATCACTCCCGATTCGATAATTCATTCCTTCTATTCTGCTCTAGAAACAGTTATTATTGTCTTTTTGGATATGCTTTGTTTCTTTTGCTATCCTATCATGCCTTCTGTTTGATATGCTCATCGGGTTTTTCTTTGTGATCGATCACTTGTCATCCATCGTGCACATAGTGGGATTCGAATTCTTGAAATCCTTAGAATTAAACAACTAAAGTTTAAGACAATAAAAAAAGTTTCCGAATAGACTTTTATAGTTTACCATTAGTCATCATGGGCTCTTGAAAATTGGTTGAACTTCTATGATGTAGTAAGCGTCTTTTATTTTTTGTTAATATGTTCAGAAACTTTATCTTTGAATAAATGAGTTTCATAATCTGTTCATTGGTTTATTTTTATTTAAATAACAAAAAAATTTTATTCTATCACGTGGTTTTTATCGTCCAAATTATGAAAATTTTAATTTAGATAAGGATATAAAGGACAACGTGAACTTCACTTTTAGTTGGTTATAGTCTTAACTATTCATACAATATTTTTGATCTAATTATTTTACTACATTATGGTTTTTTTTTTCTTTCATGAAAGAAAGGGTACAAAATAGATAAATTTTCATAGAACACTTAGGAACAAACTTTATATTATCAAATAACTTAGGAACAAACTTTATATTAGCATATCCTCTCATAAAATGTGTACCACCCAAGATCTTAGTATAGTGTATTATACTTTATGCATTATGACAATTAAAGTTATTAATGATCTCATAAAGATAAAGTTGGACGAATTAAAAATTGACATGCACATTTCATGTAATTTTCATGTTACATATTTCATAATTGGTCTATGTCATTTGGTTATATTAATATTAGTGATCATTGATGAGTTTAACTATAATTGATATAGCGAAGACCGCTTTGGTCCTATGCTAATATGGTCAATAGACGAGATTGTTTTATATGTCTTGTTTAATAATGACAATAATTTTGAGCTCATAAAGTATAGTACATTTATAAGGATACATATGTGACCGGGAGATTATCAGAATTTTAAGGATCACACATATATAATTAAATGTATTAAGTCATTATTTTGATTAGTCAAAATTAAGGTGATCTAATTAAACAAAGTTATTTAGCTAAGAGGCATCATTATTATAAAAATTAATTTATGAATACCATTAGTTACATTTATAACTTGATGACAAGACAAGTTAAGAATATAAAACATCATGACTTGATGACAAGACAAGTTAGTAATATCAAATATTCTCGGGCATTTTTATAAGTAGGGCTATAATACCCGATTCAAGTATCAATTTTCAAATATCTCTTCACCTATCAAAGAGAAATAAAAGGGTTCTTAGAAATACTTACAATTGAAAGGTTAATTCACCAATTAAACCAAAATACTCTGATGGATTCATCAGGTACGCTTCCGTATTAATATGTTTCATAATTATTGTAGAATTTCATGTATATTATTGTGTATTTAATAAGTTTTTATGGAACCATTCTAAGATTCGATTTTGGTTCTATAAAACATGTTTGATCTATATTTGATGTGTTAAATAACCAACAATTTTCCCTCAAAGCCTTACTGATCCTCACATTTGCTACTAAATTTTATTATTCATAAATAGGTTTAATAAAATGCCATGAGAGGCTTGAAAGTTAGAAGAAATTATAACTTATAATACTTACTCAAAATATTTACCTATTGTGTAACCTTTTCAAGGATCCATCGAGGCAAATCGATAATGCAAGAAAGTTGCAAATGGGTGAATACGTAATGGATACTCAAAGGGTTCCCACCAGGAGCCGTCGGATCACTTGAGATCCTAATCTTAGTCCATGTGGCACGATTTAAGTCCTTGTGACCACTCCTCCCCCTTTTGGGTGCATGACTCGGGAATCACGGTACCCTTTCAGACTCTGTTTGCCTCCCCGATCCTCGTTCTCCAGCCTTGCTCGAAACCCTACCCGTCCCCCAATTCTATCCCATACATATTCACCTTTTATTAGACTTGAGGAATTGACCGAGGTCGCATCGAGAATTTCACTTCCTCACTAGAAGGTAAAGTGATCCCTTATCGATTACTCTTGATTCGATAATTCCTTCCTTCCATTATGCTCTAGAAATAGTTATTATTGTATTTTTGGATATGCTTTGTTTCTTTTGCTATCCTATCATGCCTTCTGTTTAATATGCTCATCGGGTTTTTCTTTGTGATCAGTCACCTGAGTCATCCATCGTGCATATAATGGGATTCAAATTCTTGTGGTCCTTAGAATTAAACAACTAAAGTTTAAAATAATAAAAATTTTCCAAATAGACTTTTATGGTTTACCATTATTCATCTTGGCTCTTGGAAATTGGTTGAACTTCTATGATGTTGTAAGCGTGTTTTATTTATCTATTTTAGCATTAATATATTTTGAAATTTTATCTTTGAATAAATGAGTTTCATAATATTTTAATCGGTTTATTTTTTATTTAAATAACAGAGATTTTTTATTTCATTATGTGATTTTTATCATCTAAATTATGAAAAAATTAATTTAGATAAGGATATAAAGGATAATGTAGGCTATGAACTTCACTTTTAGTTGGTTATAGTTTGAATTATTCATACAACATTTTGTTCTAATTGTTTTGCTGCATTATTTTTTTTTTCTTTCGTGAAAGAAATGATACAAAGTAAATAAATTTTGATAGAACACTTAGGAACAAACTTTATGTTGACAGATTCTATCACACAATGTGTACCACACGAGGTCTTTCACACGAGGTCTTTCATACTCATATGGATATATTAGAATTTGAGAAAACTTCAATTTAGTAAGGGTTTGTTATATGTTTATTGTATGTTCTATACAAGATTCTATATTTTTTTAATCAAAAATAAAGTTTTTATTTATTATACTTTGTACATTATAACTATTAAAATTATTAATGACCTCATAAAGATAAAATTGAACCAATTAAAAATTGGGTCACTTGAGTCATTCATCATGCATATAGTCGGATTCGAATTCTTGAGATTCTTTGAAATAAACAACTAAAGTTTAAGATAATTAAAAAAATTTTCGAATAGACTTTTATAGTTTACCATTAGTCATCATGGCTCTCGAAAATTGGTTGAATTTCTATGATACCATAAGCGTCTTTTATTTGTCTATTTTAGCGTTAATGTATTCAGAAATTTTATTTTTGAATAAATGAGTTTCATAATATGTTCATTGGTTTATTTTTTATTTAAATAACAGAGATTTTTTATTCCATCACGTGGTTTTTATCGTCCAAATTATGAAAAATTTAATTTAGACGATGATATAAAGGACAATATAGGTTGTGAACTTCACTTTTAGTTATAGTATTACCTATTCACACAATGTTTTCATTCTAATTATTTAGCTGCATTATGGATTTTTTTCTTTCGTGAAAGAAAGGGTATAAAGTAGACAATTTTTCATAGAACACTTAGGAACAAACTTTATATTGGCATATCCTCTCACAAAAGGTGTACCACCCAAGGTCTTTCATGAGCATACTACTCATATAGGTATATTAGAATTTGAGGAAATTTCAGTTTAGTGTGAGTTTATCATATATTAATTGTTTGTTCTATACCAGATTCTATATTTGTATAGATATTTTATTATTAGAAATAAAGTTTTAATTTATTATACTTTGTACATTATGGCTATTAAAATTATTAATGATCTCATAAAGATAAAGTTGAACTAATTAAAAATTTATATGTATATATCACTTTCATGTAATTCTCATGCTAAACATTTCAAAATTGATCTATGTCGTTTGGTTATGTTAATATTAATGATCATTGATGAGTTTAGCTATGATTGATATAGCAAAGACTGCTTTGGTCCTATACTAATATGGCCAATGAACGAGATTGTTTTGTATATCCTACTTAATAATGATAATAGTTTTGAGCTCATTAAGTATAGCACATTTACAAAAATATATATTGTTAGAATTTTAAGGATCACACATGTATAATTAAATATGTTACTCCATTATTTTGATTAGTTAAAATTAAAGTGATCTAATTAAAATAAAATTATTTAGTTAAGAGACATAATTATTATAAAAATTAATTGTATGAATACCATCAGTTATATTTCTA